TTCGGCCAATCCTTGTCTCTTGGCATAACCTTTATCTCAAAAAAGATTGTTGTGAGGATGAAATGGGATGGCTCCACTTCCCTGAGCTGCTTGGGGTGTAAATGTGATGGCAATCATTAAACAGAGAGGGAAAATAAGGCAACTTCAACAACAATCACAAATAATATATATGAACTCAATAAAAGAGGAGGAACATTAACCTGTTAAGAATAACTTACCTTTTCTTCTCTATTTCCAGTCATTCCTCTTGGCTTTTGACTGCTATTTACTCAAGTGATATCAAAGTAAGCTTCCCCACAGCCAGGAGCTATAATGCAGCCTCTAATCCCCCATCTTGTCAGCCACTCACTAGATTCTGTGCCAGGAATTGAACTGTTGTTCTTAAAAACAGTGGTTGGTTCCTGCACCGTCTTAGGACCCAGCAGGCCAGCTTCACATCTTAATTTCTCTTTATCGAAACACTGAAGCGCAGAAACTGATTGAGGAGGGCGCGAAGTCAAAGCTGGACTCCAGCATTTTCCGCTCATATAATCAATGAGAAGTGAGTTAAATATCTTTTAAAACACAGCACTCCACCTGATTTCGTATGCTCCACAAGCCAGAAGAGAGGAAATGGATGATGGATGTGCAGAGAGAGGGACTATAGGAAAGAGAGGGAAAGAGAAAATGGGGCTTACTCCCAAGTAAGTGGATATAGTACTGCAGCCTTTGGAAATGCCATCCAAATAGGCCATATAGGACTGATGATGTGTTATGTAGTTGTGCCACACTTTCCAGGCACAGGTCTGGAGTTTAAAACTCTGTGTCTGAGCAGTTTTTTTGTCCACGTTTTGCCCACATTTTACCACAGAATTAGAGCAAAAGGCGATCCACAGAAAACCCAGTTGAGAGCTACAGTTCCCAAATCTCCCTGGGAAGAGGGATTGGTTGTTGAACCATTCTGAGAATAGGGTTCTCCTAACAGCTACGGGGTGTGGGTGGCGCTGTGGGTTAAACCACAGAGTCTAGGATTTGCTGATCAGAAGGTTGGCGGTTCGAATCCCCGTGATGGGGTGAGCTCCCGTTGCTCAGTCCCTGCTCCTGCCAACCTAGCAGTTCAAAAGCACGTCAAAGTACAAGTAGATAAATAGGTACCGCTTCGGTGGGAAGGTAAATGGCGGTTCCGTGCGCTGCTCTGGTTCGCCAGAAGCGGCGTAGTCATGCTGGCCACATGACCCGGAAGCTGTACACTGGCTCCCTCGGCCAATAAAGCGGGATGAGCGCCGCAACCCCAGAGTCGGCCATGACTGGACCTAATGGTCAGGGGTCCCTTTACCTTTATCTTTAACAGCTACCAGCACCCTTAACAAGCTATAGTTCCCAGCATCCTTTGGGAGGGGGAAGCCATGGCTGTTCAAAGTGGCATGATGCATTAAAAGTACAGTGCAGATGGTGTGTTGTACACTAAACCTGACATGGATATGGAAGCTAGCTGCCATTTTGTTTTTTGTGACTAATGTCACAGACGCTTGCCAATAGATGGCTGCGACAGTCCCACCTCTGTAATCCCAATGGCGCTGCAAAGTGTAATGGAAGCCCCTGCTGGATGAAAAATTGCACCACCCCAGCATCGGCTGTAAATCATACAGTGGAGTTTTTTAGGCCAGCTGCCCCACTGCTGTTCCTTGCACCCCTGGTAATGCCACGTCTGAAAGTCCAATGTAACACGAAGCTGAAGTTGGAAGTTAAAATGGCCAAGGCCTTCATGCACCTATGTGGAGGTGTCTTCACTTACCTGGGAGTAAGATCCACTAAACTCAATGGGGTTTACTTTCAAGTCAACATGCATTGCTATTGCAGTTGTATCCAGTATTGCCTTGGTCCAGTATATCTGAAGGAGCATCTCCACCCCCATCGTTCTGCCCGGACACTGAGGTCCAGCACCGAGGGCCTTCTAGTGGTTCCCTCACTGGAGAAGCCAAGTTACAGGGAACCAGGCAGAGGGCCTTCTCAGTAGTGGCGCCCTCCCTGTGGAACGCCCTCCCATCAGATGTCAAAGAGAACAACACCTACCAGACTTTTAGAAGACATCTGAAGGCAGCCCTGTTTAGGGAAGCTTGTAATGTTTGATGTATTACAGTATTTTAATATTTTTCTGGAAGCCGCCCAGAGTGGCTGGGGAAGCCCAGCCAGATGGGCGGGGTATAAATAAATTATTATTATTATTATTATTATTATTATTATTATTATTATTATTTGGCACTCTTTAGATTCTGCCAGAGGTTACTGACAAAACGTAATTCCCTTCTAGCAGAAGTTCCCCTGCTAAACTGTTGTTGGGAAATTGCTTGCCGTGACTGAGCCACAATAATGTATTGCCCACGTTGTAAAATGATGATTTGCAAAGCGTCCTTTTCTTCTGGGACTCCTCTAAAACTTCCCCGCTATACTGTTCAAGAAGCGTTTTAACTACATGACAGTTGTCGAATGTTTAATATTTCAAAGAGAAAGTTCATAAATTTAATAGTTTCTTTTATTATAACTCTTTTGGATGCAATTAGCCGAGGGTGTACTTTAAACTGCCTTCTCCTTGCTATCAAATTGGGTGGGTTTTTCCCCCTCTTTTTTTTTTTTAATGTTTCAGAAGGAGGATGGGGGGAAGGTCTGTCAAACCACGGGCCTTCTCCCTTGGTGCACATTATTAGAGTCTTTTTAGAGACAAGCAAGCAATTTTGCTGTCATTGGTCTTGTTCAAATAGACTCTGTTTATTTATGCAATACACTTGGGGAAGGGTGTCGAAGGAAAGCTCACCACCGAGCAGCTGACACCGAACCTGCACACTCATCTGAAAATACTCTCAAACAATGCACTGTCAGAGAGAGTTCACTTTAAGAAATATCGCTGATAGCACACTTTGTGCCTCACTCCTTCACTATGAGGCCAATTTATATTGCTCTGGCAGGGCAGAAGCGATATGAAGTGGGAGGGTGGGATTAGGTTTGCATCCTTTTTGGACAATGGGGATGCGATGGCTACTTACAAAAAGGGGGGAGGAATCCATCACTGAAAAAGAGTGCAGATATTTGAATAAATCTGTATACAGTGGTACCTTGGTTCTCAAACGCCTTGGCACTCAAACAACTTGGAACCCAAACACTGCAAACCTGGAAGTAAGTGTTCCGGTTTGTGAACATTTTTCGGAAGCCGAACGTGCTCCGTTTTGAGTGTTACGTTTCCGTTTTGAGTGCCGCAATTCCACTTTGAGTGTTACTCTGAGGTCTGTCTGTTTTTGCTATTTATTTTGCTTTTTTTGTTTTTGTGGCTCTTTTTGTGACTGCGTGAAGCCCAGTTCAGCTACTGATTGATTGATTGATTGTGTGACTGCAGTACATTGTTTATTGCTTTCATTTTCAGTGGTCTCGTTAGATAGTAAAATCCACGTTAAATTGCTGTTTTAGGGGTTGTTTTTAAAAGTCTGGAATGGATTAATCCATTTTGCATTACTTTCTATGGGAAAGTGCACCTTGGCTTTGGAACGCTTTGGTTTTGGAACGGAATTCTGGAATGGATTGAGTTTGAGAACCAAGGTACCACTGTCTTCCAATACACGCACATACAAACACAAACTGATGCAAATGCTGAAATAATTTACTGCAATATAAATGCAATGCATCTCTCCATAATGGGGATTGGGAAGGGTGCGGCCATCTCAGTCTGCTGTCAAGGTGCTCCTGGTCTTCTCTTTGAACCAGCCTCAGAGTGGACTTCAAATAGAATACAGCTTCAAATAGAGTACTCTAAGGTAGGACACATGGCCCTTTGAGCAGACAAAGAGTAATGCAAAAATGACCCATGTGCTAAGGGAAGCTTGGTTTTTGGTGAACTGCGGCCAGCTTCTTAACCCTGTACAGAGTTGGTCCAAGGTTTTTTGCTGCCTGAGCAGCAAATGGCATATTCCCTCCATGCCAAGGTGGATAGTATTCAAGCCGATCATGTTGTTTCGGTACCTGAGGCAGAAGCCCCACAAGTACCTCTCGTGTGTTTTTCCTGTCATTAAAAATACGATAGTAAAATGATGAACAACTTACTGTTTGGTTACCTACAACAGTTTTACAAGAAGGTACAGCAACTCGGGCTGTCAGTGGAACATTTGTGATCAATGTCCCCACCATCTGCAAAGGCTATAATAAAAACAAGGTTGTGGGATATTGGACGCCAAGAACTAACAGTAGCATCAGAGAAAACATGTTCCCCTCTTTATTTTCCACTTTCTTGTGCACATGAAACTAACCATGATTACCTTGAATTTCTGCTTAACCCTCAAGAAAGAAGGGCATTTTCGCTGGCCAGGTTTAATTCAAATCCATCAAACCTCCTTTGGGGAAAGTTCCCAGGCAGGGTGGAAGGAGAAAGAAATTGCCCATGTGAAGACCACCTGGTGGAAACCCTTACACATATGGTTCTCAATTGTAAACTGTATGCTGATCTCCACCAGCAATTTCTAGATCAACTCTGTATCCCCAAATGAAAACCAGAGTCAGAGGTCATACAATTTCTATTACTGGGGAATGATCAGGAGCTCACCAAGTTAGTGGCTAAATATCTCTATTTGGTTTTTTTGTCGTCGAAATACACTGCAGACGTCTGATCTCCCTGGAGACCAAGAGATGTGACGACAGACTGCTCTGCCTCCTTTCTTTTAGCAAATGTTTTGTGCCACTGGGGAAGTGGTAATTCTGTATTGATTTGATTTGTTTTGGATGTTGTATGTGGTGCCAATAAAAGGTTTTACGAATATGAATACTTTTCGGTTAGGACTCCTCCACAGATCAGCCAATTGCAGTGGCTGTCTCACGCTGCCTAACAGTAGGGCCGGCTTGCTCAGTAGCTCACGTGTGGCTCCTGGGCAACCCTTTCTGCAGATCTGCAGAGAGGCAAATACTCACAGAATCATAGAATAGTAGAGTTGGAAGGGACCGCGTGGATCATCTAGTCCAGCTCCCTGCAATGCAGGAATCTTTGCCCAACATGGGGCTCGACCCACAACCCTGAGATTAAGAATCTCAGGCTCTACCGACTGAGCTATCCCTTGGAACGTTAGCTATTCCACATTTAAAAGTCGTGGTAGTTTGTTTAATCCCAGGGAGAGGGGTTTTTTTGGGGGGGAGGGTAAGGAACGCGATGCTAGTACTCATATCTTGATAAAAGTGCTGTGCATCCCAGAACAAAATTATCATTATTATTTATTAAATTTGTTTACCGCCCTATATCCGCTGGTCTCAGGGGAATCAGCTATACAAACAGAACGTTTTAAATGTGTTGTAAAGTGCAATATACAAATGTGACACTAGAGGGCGAAACTGAGCTATGCAAAATTCAATGTATTTTTCAAAACTTTTTTTTAAAAAGCGTTTTCACAGCATTTTTTAAATATGTGTGTAAATTCCACCGGGGTGGTTCCCAGGATAAAGTCACGATATAAAAACACAGAATACATAATCAAAATAAAAAACAAGAACAACCCAATAACCCAACAGCAAAATGATAAGTGATGGTACTCTACATTGGTGAGTAGCGTCACAAAAAAAGCACTGGGTTTGTAGGATTGTCTATTTGAGGGAAGGGTGCCGTTTAATGTTCCATCTTAGGCAGCAAAATGTCTTGAGCCTGAACTAAACCACCTCATAGGTCAGATGTGGCCATAAGTTGGCCTTTTCTTACCTATCACTGAATCAGACCTCCTTTTCAAACTCTGTGATAAATTGACAGTCACTTGGAAGTAAGGGATTTAGTGGGTCGGAAGGCTATGGAGGGAATTGCACCTCAAACAATACGAGGTAAGGGTCTGAGGAATGAAATTGCTTCTGAAAAATTCCCCTCAATGGAAAATTTGTGACGCCCCTTTGACTTTCCAGAGTGCCCATGGAGGAGCTATTTGTTTGCATTTATTTATGTGTTTATATCTTACCTTTTATAAATAGGTTTTTCCCCGTCCAAAGTGTATGTGTGTGTGTGTAATTTTGATTTTTCTTTTATTTTAACAATGAAAGCCATAATATCTCAATAAAATCCAAATGCTAAAAACAGCACAGTGTAAAACAAAAATGGACAAGTTAGCATTCACGGGTCCCCAGTGATGCTTTTCCTTAAAAATGAAATTATAAGCAGACTTCTTTTTTTCTTTTATAGCACATTGATTAAAAATGGCTTGACCCTCTTTGGGCCAGACAGTTTCTTCAGGGGAGTCAGCTGAGTCCCGTGGGACAGCATCTCTGACTGAAAGTATACATTTCTCTTTAAAGCACAGATTATTTTTGAAGGTTATCGATGCATGCAGATTTCAGTAAAACACGTATTGATGGAATGCCATGTTCGCTCTTCCTCTGGCTGACATGTAAACTCGGCGATCTCAGCTTCAAGAGTGTGGCTTTCAGTAGGAACGTATGTTATTAGGAAAGCTGGCTCCTCGCCCTTCCTCCCACCTTTTGCGCAAAATGCAAGAAAAACTGAAAACCGGTGTCCATTAAAATAGAATCTCTCAACTTTGCCGTTACCTTACGACCGGAATCTTTTGAATACGAAACACAAACGTCTGTTATAAAGTTTGAAACCGTGCCCTGTCTGATTTCTTTGACGTTATCATTCAACGAGCCTGGTGAGAATGATGGAGTTTAAAGGAATATGCTTAAGGTATACATCACTGGTGTGAGTGAGGAGAGAGATCTGACTCCTTGTCTTTTCATTAAGGATGAATTCAGCCCAGGGGTGCACTGCGGACTTGGCAAATTGCATTATAATAGTGAGAGAATATGGCCCACTGGATAGCTTGAGCAGATGATTAAATTTAAAAGTGCACATTGTCCACATAAAGCAAATAATGTTTGGGTTTTTATTATTATTATTTTTACATGTACTGTGAACATTCATCACTGGTGCTGAAGATACGCAGTTGCTAATTATTGCAGGGCTTTTTTTTTATTTGTAATGTACTGTAAATTTTGTATAATACTACTGTGACCTTATAGAGAACAAGGAGAGATGACAGGGGGCCTATAATTATAAGATGGTGAAGAAATGCTATAATTATTTACTATTTTTAGGAGCAGTGTGCATAGCCTCTTAATTTGCATAAGCTTTAGACATTCACACGTTTTCTGCCTTTGCTCGCGGATGATAAATTTTTCTTCAAATGAGAGAGGAAGACTCTTTCCATAAGAAGTTAGCCAACTGGGAGCCTGATTATAATGAACAACGAAATTGTTGGTGGCAGCTTTGCAAAAAAAATGGGGAGAGTTTATTTGGATAAAATTGGTTTTAAACCAAGATTCAAAACATCCCCTCCATTGGGTCTTGAAAGCCTGTGATTTGCTTTTAGAGAATTGACTAAATTATCTTGTGGCTAAAGCATTAGCTTAATAAGAAGGAGGGTGGGGGTGGGAAGGAAGGCCTGCAACTCCCCAGTAATCTATTTATCACGTGTAGAAGGTGATTATGACAGTATGTTCTTATTAGGGATGAATATTTTGTGCTCATTAAGTTTACCCCCTTGAGTACTTGAGGATGTAAAGTGTGTTTTTCAGCAAGTACCACAATGTAAGCTACTTTTATTGTTTCATATTTAGTTTTCATTTGTCTTGCTGCTTTGTTGTAGTACATCTGGTGCTATTAAAAGGAAATGGTCCAGCCAATCTGGAATGGCTGGCTCACATACCAAGGAATGGGGAGGAAGCAAGGCTTGAACAGAGACCAGCTCCCGCCCCAGAATGCTACCTAGGCTTGGCAGCCCACCTTCTGGCAAACATCCTTTTATATTAGCATTTGAATAAGGAGTGTGTCTCACTAGATGGGGCTCTCATGGATAGCTCAGATTTACTTCTAGCGATTTGAAGTCACCGTGAGTCCTTATCTGCAGGGATTCATCTTGGAAGTCATATTCCAGTTTTAAGGAAATGCATTCCCTTGGATTTCTCCAGCCCTACTAAAGATAGATAAACTTCCTCCCTAGCTGATGATGGCAGCCATGTGTCCTACTTTACAAATACCTGTTTTTTTTATTATTATTTGATGGGCTATCAGAGGAACATAGGAAGTTGCCATATACTAAATCAGTAGATCTAGCTCAGCATTGTATACACTGACTGGCAGTAAGGTAGCACTGTGGCCTAAACCACTGAGCCTCTTGGGCTTGCCGATCAGAAGGTCTGTGGTTTGAATCCCCATGATGGGGTGAGCTCCCATTGCCCTGTCCCAGCTCCTGCCAACCTAGCAGTTTGAAAGCACACCATTGCAAGTAGATAAATAGGTACCACTGCGATGGGAGGGTAAACAGTCTTTTCGTGTGTTCTGGCTTCTGTCATGGTGTCCCGTTGCACCAGAAGCGGTTTAGTCATGCTGGCCACATGACCCGGAAAGCTGACTGTGGACAAATGCCAGCTCCCTTGGCCTGAAAGCGAGATGAGCGCCAGAACCCCATAGTCACATTTGACTGGACTTAACCATCCAGGGGTCCCTTTACCTTACCTTTTTACCTGCTGACTGGCAGTGGCTGTATAGGGTTTTAGGTGGGGATCTCTCCCTGTCCTACCTGGAGATGCTGGGTATTGAACCTGGGACCTTCTGCATGCAAAGCAGATGCTCTACCATCGAGCTATGGCCTTTGAAGGGCTGTCCTCTCCATCTTAAAGGAGGGGATGGTAGCCCTCTCCATAGGAACCCCATTTCCCTTGCCAGGAAACCAATCTTTTTGGAAGCCAAGTGTGATGGTCTGTGCTTGGTATTGGGCAGAGGGACAGAGTGAGGATCTTGGGTTCTAGTCCACCCTGCTTCTCAACAACCTCACCACCTGATTTGGCAGAGGCAGTTTGTGGTATAGTGTGGGAGAACCCTATGATAATGTTCCACCTTATCTCATGAATTCATGGCTGTCATGAGACCTATGGGGCTGTCTCAATACACAGTCGTACCTGGGATCCCGAATGCCTTGCGAGTCGAATGTTTTGGCTCCCAAATGCCGCAAACCCGGAAGTGAGTGTTCCGGTTTTCGAACGTCCTTTGGAATCTGAATGTCTGATGCAGCTTCCTTCCTGCAGCCAATCGGAAGCCGCACCTTGGTTTCTGAACGTTTTGGAAGTCGAACGGACTTCCGGAACAGATTCCAATCGTCTTCCGAGGTACCACTATGTTAGGCATCCAACTCACATCACAGTCATGCTCTGCATTTTGATATAGAACAGATCTGGGTTTTGCTACCAAATGGATTGGAAATAAACCAGTGCCTTGAGTGTCAACCCCAGGTCATGATGGTTGAGATTTGCATTTACTCTGTTCAGACAATAGATGCACTGATTTCACATGATTTGATTGCACTGTAAGAAAGCTGTCGTATTCTGAGTCAGATCATCCGTTCACCCAAGTCAGTACTGTCCACAACTACCACCAGAAGATCTCCAAGGTCTCAGACAGAGGTTTTTTTCCAAGCCCTTTCTGGAAATGCAAGGGACTGAGAGCATGTTTTATATTCCAAACCCAACTTTCAGTGGTTTAAATAAGTAACTTGGCTCAGTGGAAGACATTTCACTTATTCTACCATTCACATAGATACTTAATGCCTGCAGGATCTCATTACCATCTTTTACAATGTGGTAATGTTATGGAAGCGACACGTGTTCGGCAGTAAGGTGCTGCTGTTCTAATAAGAACAATTATAATGAGCTTTAAGGAAGCTAAGGAAGAAAGCAGAAGGCCGTAACATGGGAGGGAGTGTTATAACGGAGAGCCAGTTAATCAAGATGAGGAATAACCTCGCTCTGCCCGCGTAGTCCCTTTTCTGTCTGTTCAAACCTCTGACACTTAGAGGAATAAAGGACTTTTTCTTTTATACCTCATTCATGTCATGAATCGATGTGAAATAAGATCCACTGAAAATACTAGGGATTTGCCTGGCAGGACACAATTTGTAAAGTGCCTTTTCTCCTAATCCAATTCCGTTTAAAATATCGCAGGAATGGGGCTGTAATTGATTTATATTAATTGACATTGGAAACTTGGTGCTTGATCAAGAAATCAGATAGGCTCAAAGTATGGCTCCTGACTATACATTTGCATTTAAAATGTTGCAGGCATCGTTAGGTTTTTTTTTTTTTAAAAAAAGAACCAAAATCCTAGTTTATATTAAAAACCACACTCAAATGTGAACTTCTGTCAATCAAGTCGGTGTTAAAATTGTCAGGGAATATTTATTTCAGTTAACTGAGTGTCCTCTCAAGTTTAAGGATTTCCGCAGTTAGGCCACTGGTTTTCTGAATTCCATGTTCAACAAAGCCTCCCTAAATTCTCATTATAAATTGTTTCTATCTGCAATGCAGTCCCCACTTAAACTGTAAAAGGACTGCTCCACAAAATGTCTTCATTTGAACATAAAGCAGACTTGGTATGACAGTTCTTAAACAAAGGCTAGCATTTCAATGGTGCCCGGTAGCTGAAATAAGACTGGAGTGGATAGGAAGTATATTTCCTTGAAGAAAATTTATTAGGCCAATTAAATAATTGGGGCCAAGACAGACAGACGTAATTTGAGCAGTGAGCCCATTGTAGATCCCAGACAACTTTTTTGGACATCCAAAATAAATGAAGGCCATGAACAATCAACTCTTCCTATTTCGATGAGAAGCTGGCTAAACAGACGGCTGATTGGATGGCCTAACAATAATCATCTCCCCACCTGGCTGTGCAGAGTGTAGATTGGCTGGCACTTGTGAGAATCATGAGGACACTCACATGTAGTCAAATGAGGCTCCCGCCTTGCTCACCCTACATTTATGCAACACGTTGGCGATTAATATACACACAATAATTACCAAAATGATTATACATTCTTTATCAATCTTCTGAGAAAAATACGAAACCTTCTGAAAAGCCACAGAGACTTGCGAACTACCCTACCTAAGATGAACTTATAATGTCTGATTTCAATGGATTTTTCAAGTGCTTAACTCAGTCTTTTGTTTTCTTTATCTTTTTAGGTAACTTCATGAAGATACCAACAAAAGGTAAATTTGGTGTTGTCCACAATACCGAGAGATGCTAGTGAAGTTGTACATGGATGTTAATGAAGTTGTAGACAGGGTGCTGGCATTTTGCACCTGTTTCGCCCTGGCAGTCCAAGTAATCAAGAGGCCGCTGTTTGCCCCCGATGGGGCACTTTTACTGGGGCTTGCAAGTAGCATGCTCCCAAGGTAGTTTTCCAGGCTTCATCAGTGGTCTAATCTCAAAGCCTTGATATGTATACAGTGGTACCTCTGGTTACGTACTTAATTCGTTCCGGAGGTCTGTTCTTAACCTGAAGCACCACTTTAGCTAATGGGGCCTCCCACTGCCGCCGCACGATTTCTGTTCTCATCCTGAAGCAAAGTTCTTAACCCAAGGTACTATTTCTGGGTTAACAGAGTCTGTAACCTGAAGCATATGTAACCTGAAGCATATGTAACCCGAGGTACCACTGTATTGATATTCAATTTAACAGAGAATACTGTTTCTTGGCTTAAGAGACTGATTTGCTTAGCCACTCACTGATTTGCTTAGCCACTTAGTCAAATGAGGTTCCTGCCTTGCTCACCCTACATTTATAGCCAATAGGTCATTCATAGTCACATGGGATGTTTACTCTTCAGGGTGTGTCAAGCCATGAAACTGTCCTCAGTGATGTTACATCCTGTTATCATGATGTCTCCCCCCCCCCCAACTAAAGAAGCATAGGATATTTGTTGTGGTTGCTAGAGAGCTAGATGCACTCTCTAACCACATCTATACCTACCCAGAGACATAAGGGGCATGTGTGGAAGTCAGGAGCCAAGGCTCGGAGAGACCTCGCCCATTTCAGTGGGTTGGCTACAATGAGAAAACATCCAGTTTCTGTGATTTTCATAGGTTCCTCTCTCCCCAGATACGCTTTTGCTCTCGTTTCCCATTGTTTCTTAGTGGGGAATGTGTGTAACTTCGCAAGATGCATCTAACTGAGCATGTGTACAATGTCTCAGCGACTGAACAGCGCAGTTGCCTTTCCTTGTGCATTCAGAATTCCGGGGGGTGACTGGGAGAGGAATCCAGAAAAGGGCAGAAAACCAGCCAACGTCTAATCTGAAATTTGGGGCAGGGTTAGAAAGATTACGGTTGCCTTGGCTTTACAGCTTGCCAGCCAAACAACCTGGTTGTAGCATGGGAAGTAGGCACAGGACAGGGAAACCTGGAACTCAGGGTATCACTGTCATATCATACATTGCATCTATGATAGTGCTGTCAGTGCAAATTATATACGGTGCAGGTGTAAAGGCAACGCATGCCCTAACACAAACTCGGCAGATCAGATGCACATAGCGATACATCAAATCAGCATTAAGGTGTGATACATCTGGTACAGGCAATTCCTTAATTCATTTGTTGGGTGTCCTGGGCAACTTGTGGTGCAATGAGCTTCGCCAGAAATCACTATTTGATTTGATTTTTAATTTTTAAGCAAGACCTTCCATTTTTTGAATTCAAACACAGCCTACTTGTTATAAGCTCTGCCACCCTGTGTGCAAGCAGGCATATAACACCCATGGGTCGTGAATCCTCGTTTATTAAAAGGGAGCAGGTGATGGGCCCCAGCAATTGATCGTTTGGATAAAGAACAGTGCAGTCAACATATTTAAAAAGAAATAGGTTTGCTTGGGAATGCACCAGGCAAGCACACCCTTTCAAAACAGAGTTTTAGGTGATAGGGATACGTAACAAACTAATCCGATGGCCGTATTTTACAGCGCAGTGTGTACAAAAGGGCAGGGGCAGAAAGAAAGAAAGATATGGTTTCGCTGTTCATATTGTTTTTTCCTTGTCCGCTGTTTGGCAAGAAACCGTTGATAATTAGTGCATATCTGCATATCAGCCTCTGTGGTTAAATAGGCTAAGCTAAAGCTTCCATTTGATTGATCCTTCGTCGCGGAATGAGTGGTTCCTGTTACAACCTAGTCAATAGCTGTGTCGCTGAGGCACGAGGCAATGTGGAACCCAAGGTGCCGGTCCCCTTTCATTTCCGCAAGAACACACCACACCGTGGTGACAGCAAAGCGGCAAATATATACAGTACATACATGTATAATAAATATTGTTGTTTGAAAGTTCTTCCACGCACATTGGGCACCGACTCTCTCTCTCTCTCTCTCTCTCTCTCTTTTTTAAAACTTCACTACAAAAAAAATCACAAGGCGTAATGACAGCAAAGACATTTCATACCCTTAGCGCATAGTAAATAACAAACACAAAACACTTTTTTGCTGTCACTGTTGCGGTTCAGAAGTTCCACCGGCGTGCAGTGGGCTCCACTATCACTTTCATTTCACAAAACTGAATTAATAGCAGAGTCACATCTCTCCTTAACGGCAGAACGCACCAAACACTCTTAAGTTTTGTGCAGACACATTGTACAAATATTTCATTTGAGCACATCAGAAGGGAACAAAACACCTCCGCCTGCCTACACGGCTGCACCTGAACTACCAGCATAACCAACGCTACCTGTCAATTTCCTTCCCACACATATACTTCCTTAAAAAAGAAGAATATATATATATATATATATATATTCTACACACTCCCTGCTGAGATAGAAAACCAGAGTT